TAGGTCCTTTGCTCATGAAATATATTACTTAATTAATTTTTATTGTTTGGTAAAATGAATTAAATTATCCAGTAAACCCAAATAGAAATAGTAAATATAGTATTTCAAAAAAATCAGTAACATGTTAATAATGTAGCCTACATTATTTCCTTGAATTGCATAGCAGCAATTAATTGAGCTGATCCTTATATAAATAAATCAATATGTTCTTCATAGGCATAACATGGGTTCTTTAAGAACCACTGGGGCTGAGCCCAAGGGATTTTAAAACGTAAGGTTGGTTTGCAAATGAACGTGACACGCTCTTTCTAATGAGACACGAATGGTCAAAATCGCCTAAGAAATGCGGAAGAGTTCAACGGAAAAATTTCGTGTTGGCGTTACAGTATGGTTGAAAAGTCCTGGATTGGCTATATTTTTTTAACAATATAGATAAAGTAGTGAGACTTGGTATATCAATAATAGCCATAAATATCTACTGTCTTAAGCTATTATCACTTTTTTATCCCTTAAGGGGGGTGGACCACAAAGACTAAGACAAAATTCTTATATAATTTTAATACTATTTTACCTGTTTTTGAAATGGCGACCATACAAATGTATGCATTTTAAGCCAAGTATGAATGGAGATGAGTGTGTGATGAGTGGGCTGAAGCCGGAAAAATACGAACAAACTAAACTATTTATTAACAAAACTTTTTTTGTGTTGAAATTTGAAGACAATGGTCTCAAACTCTACACCGAATAATGCTAATTCATAATGGTTCATCTATGATCGATAATGTAGCCATGTTGCTTTGAAATGGCGACCATACAAATGTATGCATTTTAAGCCAAGTATGAATGGAGATGAGTGTGGGATGAGTGGAGCGATCTTGTTGTCCTGTTTGTGACTAAGGCCGACATAATCCTTATACACAGCTGTTAATTAATAGTGCATACAGTCAATTAATAGCAGCAGAGGTCAAGTTTGGTATCATTAAAGGTTTTATTCATAAAAATACATTGCCGCAAACCCAAACTCAAACTATGATGATGATAAGTCGCTAAAACGTATCGTTTGAAATTTAACAGCTGAAAATAAGTGAAATAGAAAAGGTTTTGGTTAAATCCATCAAATTGTAATTGGACACTAGTAAATACTAGTGAACTTGTTGCTACCTCCCCCCTTCGGTTTCATGTATTCCTCTCAATCAGTTCAAACCTAGGAGGATTAAACATTAATGTTAATTAATGTTAAATCCTCCTAGATTCAAACCTGAAACACCCAGAACGAAACTCGCCTGTCGTTATTTTACCATCGCCTTTTTTTTAAATATAATTTTCAAAAAAGAAATATTATATTAATTTACTTTGGATTTTAAAAATGTTAACGTTTTATTTTGTTAAAGATTTATGGTGATACGTAAATATTGTGGTGTAGTAAAGTATATTATAATGTAGTTAAGTGTTAAATTTTGAAATTTTAGGGTGAATCGAGATGAATCTTTGTTTATAACATGCGTCTCTCCTACCTTAACATACATACCAAGTTTCATAAACAGCGGTTGGAAAAGTGCAAAGATAAATATTTGTATGTAAAAAATACAAAATGGTGGATATCTGGTTAACGAAATGATTTTGGAAAAAATGTTAGCCTTGATTTTCTGTTTATTTTGACCCAAGGAATTACTAGGTAAAGTATCTCCCCGCTTATTTTAACACCCTGTTTATGATGTATTCTTATAAGTGAAAAATGTAAGCTGGTAATAAAGAAAGATGTTTTATAAATAATGTGAATGTACTGGTGATCTGTATATTTATCTTTTTCTTGTCCTTAGAACTATAAATTAAAAGTCCACTCAGCAGTCGCATCGTACGATGTAGTTCTTTCCGTGCGTTACGAAATGCTAAATTTGCCGTCCTCTTCATCCCAAGTTATCTACTGAACCACTGATTGTAAAAAATTCAAAAAAATATATTTTACGCATCACACTTTTGGCTACAACTTTGCCACAGACAAAACCTCTCTAACCCAAAAACAAAAAAAATCTCGCATGCTAACTTTTTCATGTTAGAAATCACGATTTAAAACTATTTCACCATACAAATCAATTTTTATTAATTAGATCGGTAAATAGTTTAAAGTTCCAACAAAATAGTCATCGAGTAGGACTAACCAAGAAGCTCTGTGCCAAATTTCAAAATTTTAGCACAACTTTAAGTACACCAAAACACGAAATTATTGAAGTCATGCGTCGAGAGGACTATCGTTGTTTTTAACAGATTATACTTTTGACCTTCCGGCACTGTTGACTCAGCGAAACTGAACTTATACTTTATCTTAATTCGTTATAATAAAACTGCTGTTGCATTAGGTCAAATTCCCAATAAGTCAATTGCTTTAACATAGACTACGTTTTTAGCCCGGACTGTACTATTTGACTTACTGGGATTTTTGATCTACAGACACTGCAAACATTGTAGTTTTTGACCTAGCGGCACAGGTATAAATTATTTGACCTTCCGGGACTGTTGACTTTCTGCAACGCGTCCACCAATTTAAGTTTCCATACCCTCACAGGTAGGGAATAACAGACAATTTAAGATTTTTTCAAAATATTTGTACTTACTCACATAAAATGGACATAAGTGCATTAAACATTGTTTTTATTCCAAATTCATTGTCATTTTCAGAATCCTCGTTAAATTTCCAATAGTGGTAGTACAAATTCATTGAGATTAAACATCTGCATAAGCGCTTATTTGGCCATAGAAGTTTGAATTTATGATTTTTTATAAAAAAGTAATAACTTTTTCCAAAGTTTTTCTATACTACACTGGATTGTAGAGAGTGTCAAATATTACTAAAAAACTTCTGCAGTTAATAACCTTTAAAATGATGTATAAACATCTACTGTTCCTTTGATTTGTCGTTCTCAAATTTAAGAATTTCATATGAAAACACGGAACGGCTAATGTTTAATTTCCTTTAAAATAACATGTATTTGCTTAAATAATATGGCAATGGCTGCAATAACAGTTATATTTGAATAGGGTCTATTGTAATTTTTAGAATCCTTGTGAGATTTATCGTAAGACTATTAAAGATCTATTAGGATTAACATCCATATAAACGTATGTTTTGTAAAAACGTGTTAAATTAGTTTTATTTTTATTTTTTGAATACATTGAATATTGTTTAAAGTTACACATGGTACATTTAACTAAAGAATTTTTTTTTTTAAGCATAAGCAAATACTTCCAATGGAGTAGCCTATAAAATTATGTAGATACTACACTTTACAATGTTGTCAATATGTTCACCGAAAACCCAAAATTAACCTATGTATAGTATACCAATTAATTGATTGTATTGCTTAGACACATGCTAATGGAAATAACTCAGCCAAATGATATATTTCTTAACTAAAATAATTGTTAACACCTCAAAAATACTTAGTTTTAGTTATTTATACAAAAACTAAAAGTTAATTCTAAAACACAAAATATTCTAAACTTAAATAACTGTTCCTTACTTCCTTGACGTTTTAATAGTTGCCTTCTATTTGATGCCAACTACTTGAGTTTTTTTTTTCAAAATCTCCATTTTCCCAGATACACAGCCAAGCTTTTTTTGCACGTGGCACCAACAGTAACATTAAAATACAACGTTCCTCTGACTAGCACATCTGCATTCATTATCCAGTTGTTAATTTCCTGATTATCTTCCACTAAAGATGAGTAGACCAAGTACTCCACCTAACACACAAAGCAAGTCCAGTGGACTTAGGTCTGGCGACCTGGTGTGCCAGCAAACCACACCATATGACCCATCATTATCATTCTTATCATTCAAGTTGTGTATTTTGCTTTAAGTCAATCTCGCACATCGGTTGAATGTGCCATAGAACTAACACCGTAAACGATATTTAATTCATTCCAATAAATAAGAAGAAAACCCCCTAAATGAAAATTCATCACAAGACATAGGTTCATAAAGTGTTAATCCTAACAATTCCTCAATATTCTTATTAGGAATTTTACAAGGATTCTGAAAATTGCAATAATACCCATTTAAAAATGATTTTTAAAGCAGCTGCTGTCATATCATTAAAGCCAATACATGTTTTTTTAAAGGAAATTAAACATTAGCCGTTCCGTGTTTTTCATGAGAAACTCTTAAATTTGAGAACTACAAATCAAAGGAACAGTAGATGTTTATACGTCATTTTAAAGGTTATTAACTGCAGAATTTTTTAGTAATATTTGACACTCTCTACAGTCCAGTGTAGTATAGAAAAACTTTGGAAAAAGTTATTACTTTTTTATAAAAAATCACAAATTCAAACTTCCATGGCCAAATAAGGGCTTATGCAGATGTTTAATCTCAATGAATTTGTACTATTACTATTGGAAATTTAACGAGGATTCTGAAAATGACAATGAATTTGGAATAAAAACAATTTTTAATGCACTTATGGCCATTTTATGTAAGTAAGTACAAATATTTTGAAAAAATCTTAAATTGTCTGTTATTCCTCACCTGTGAGGGTATGGAAACTTAAATTGGTGCCATTTTGTCACCAATACTTAGTAGTTTAACTCATAAAAATTTTTAACACTAACTTCGTTCCACCCTGTATATGACATATGATGATACATAATATATTTTTATTTTGTCAATGAAACTCAATTTTACAGCACAACAGATTGGTTTGTCATATAAGAGCTTCCTTTTCTTCTTTGGTGGTTGGTTTTTTTCTAGAATCGTCATCTGCTTTCTAGAGTTGTTTTCGATTTGTTGCTGGTGTTTTGTTTCAAACTGTTAAATTCCCTCACAGTTTTTATCTTAGTATTTTAGCTATACAACAGTTCCACAACAGCTTACATTTAATTTTTAATGACCGGCAAACATATCTATTTTATAGTTTTGACAAGGTTTTGAGGTTCAGTTAAGTATGCTTTATTGTATTATGTTCACGTATCTTGTCAAGAGTTTAGCTTGTGCTGTGTTGCAGAGCTGATGAGTGTCGAGTTCCAACCATCGCCCCACCTCCTCGCAACATCTCCATGTTTGGCCCCAGTTGTTCCTGTGACAGTGGCGCACAAGTTTGTCCGGTGACTGCGGGACTGCCTGACCCACCATATTTCATGGTAAGCTATGGTTGTGAAAAGTCCAAGTTAACATTTTATTTAACTACAGCTTGGGTCTTATTTGGGAAATCTATGATTTAGTGACAAGTGACACTCAACAGATGAGAAACCCACCCATCTTTGTTTTTTTAATTAATCCATTAGAGGGTTGTTTTTAAACAGGCAGATAATGATACTAGGATTGCTTTCATAACAGGTATCAGTGAGATTATCCTGGCTTTAAGCCACTTTACCCTAAAAGTATAAAAAACATTTTTTAGAAACATAATCACAAACATTTGTCTACTTTTTTTGAAAAAAATCTTTATGTGATGTTGATTTTCAGACTGCTTCTGATGACACAATGTACGATCTAACAGGATCAAACATCTCTGATTGGATACTGAAAACTCAGAAACGATACGACCGTACAAGGTAAATAAGATGACATTTTTACCATAAAATAAAGCTCATGAGCTTCGATATTTATTTTTATAAAACGTTCTTTTTTACCAGTGCAGTGTTAGTACCACTTTTCAAATTAGGTACTGGCATCACTAATAATAACTAACTAAATAGAAGCCTACTCTTTCTTCTAAAGAAAGTTGCTGAGATTGACATTTTATATTATTCATAATTTAAAACCATAAAAGAGTTCAAATTAAGGGCACATTAAATCTTTGATAATTATTATGTTGTTTGAAGGTTCTGCAGTTTATATTGGTAAAGTAAATATATTTTTTCACAAGTTACAAGACACAAGATTTTTTTACATCCAGGATGTCCAGCTGACTAGAAAATTGAGATACCGTACGTTAATTTTGACTGCCAAGAAAAAAATGGAGTTGAATGCATCTTTTTATAGGAGCAGGTAGTTCTAGTTTTTTAATAATCGTCGCCAATGGCCTATGGTCCATTCATTGATGATGTTCCATTGATTCTCTCCTGTTCAAACGTCAAGTATGAATATTGTAATTGCAAGAAATTATGATGATGTTGCCTAAATAACGGAGATGAGCACAGATGTTAGGGAGTGTAAGTACTCATATTCCCACTGGCTCTCCTGACCTAGTACTGTCATATTATCACCTGTTAATCTATATTTCCTTAAATTTTATGCTTATATAACATGTTATTGTTTTGTATTGTAAATAAATTTAAAATGTTCAATAAGCACGAGATAATTGCTAACACACCATTAAAACCTTTTTAGGATCGGTGGGTTCAGTTTGGGCGTGGTGTCTCCTGTGCCTGATTGGGACTTGACGTCGATGTTAGGGAGGTTGGTGCAGGCTGTGAACAACACAGGACTATTGTGGAGACCTCTGGCTGTGGCTACCAGCAACTCTGCTAACACAAGCAACAACACGCAGCAGAGACATGTCATGGTGAGAGAACATGTGTCAAATATACAGTTTTTTGTTTGGTTCTTAAGAAATAATTAATTAAATAATAATAATTAATAAATAATTAATTAAGAATTAATTGAATAAAATGAGCTTTTCCTACAACATATCCTCAACTAAGCTGTACAAAACTTTGCTTTGTAGAATGCGCGTAAAGCATATGTTTTAGTTGGTTTTGGAAAGTTTACAAAAAGTTGTTCAAAACGAGTCAATATGCGTTTTTACCGATGTAAACATTTATTGCTATAATCTAAGGCATACCTTACTATCCAATTGATTTACTGTGGAGACCTAAGTTTCTACGCCAGAGCGTTATCGTGAGTCCTAGGTTAAGCTAAAGTTTTTGTTTTTCATCTCTTACTCTACTTTTGTAAACCAATAGGTTGGTAAGGTAAGCCGTATATTATAAAAATGTTTAAATAACGATCCAGAGGCTATTTCTCCAAATGTAAACATTTAAAAACTTAATTTGTCAAAGTCACTGTTAGGCATGTGTTATCCTCGTACTACAAAGGGACGTATTTTGGCAGGTGTGGTACTTCAACAAAGCGTGGGCATCTTCGGTCGGGTACATGAATGCTCTCAACAACGTAGTCCTGCGATCGTTTGTACCTAACAATCAGTCACAATACAGCATCAATACTATCAACCACCCGATGAACTTTACTCGCAAACAGCTCGGTATTGAGATTATGTGAGTATTTATTTAGCAGGAAAATGATATTTTCATTTTGCTTGACACTGTATTAAGAAAGATTATACTTGTTTTTTTATTAACTACATGCTCATCCTCAATATACTGTTAGGTCTGTTAAATACTGGTGTAAAGCCATCTCAAAGACACTAATGAGTGCATCGATCTTTTTGACCAAATGATCATTTCCTTAGAAAAACAGATAATTGCTCAAAATAAAGGGAAATAAGTACATGACATGCTATCTTGGAAATGGTTTTACTGATGTTAAACATAATTTTGCATTATAAAAATACAAAATACAAATGAGTAACTGGATGGAAATATTAACTAGTACAAATGTTTCTGTTGAACTTAGAAAAACCTATTGATATATTTGAATCTTATGAAATAAAGGTTAATAACCTTAATCTACATTTGTATCATATGTCCATGATGGATATCACTTTTAGGAAAAAGATTAGGCCTAAAAGTGTTTGGCGCTCTGGTGAAAATTACCGATCTTGGACTGCTTTAATTACTGAGACGAGCAGATTGGAACTAACTCCTCCCCACCACTGCAATTTCATGGCCTAACCCTTCCCTTAAGTTTAACTGCTTGAGCGGAAAAAAGCCTGCTTTCTGCTTCCAATAATGACCAAAATAGTGTGTTTCAGTGTTTTTATTGCCACCTATGTTCGTCCCATCGAGGGTTAAACACTTGTTGTTGACAGAAGCACAAGTGGAGTTTCACTGCTCCATGCTATCGCAGTGTTGTTTGCTCTGAGCTTTGTACCTGCGTCGTTCACATTGTACCTGATAGAAGAGAGAGTTACCAACTCTAAGCATCTGCAGATGGTGTCTGGCGTCAACAGACTCATCTACTGGCTACAAACCTACACCTGGGACTTGGTATGTTACATACATCACTGTTATATAGATTATTGTCGTCTTGCAAATATTTTCAAGTTTTGGCATAGGTGTTCCCTAACTCTGGAAAAAGTAGTTTAAGCATTGACACCTGTTTCTATGTATTAATTTGCATGTAACCAAGTTGAATGACAAAGAGCTAAGAACTGGATATAGATTTACAAAGTTAATATGTAGCTAAAAGCATTGGATATGAATAGAACAAGACGTTCTGTTCCCGTGTCAAAGTTGAAGTCAGTTTTAAAATTTAACTTTTAAAGAATGAGTTTTGTGTGAAAATATTTGTTTTGTGCCCCCCTGAATCCAAAAAAGTGGTTTTCAAAATGATATGTGTGTCTACATGTACACAGCGGTTTTATGGTTCATTAATAATAACAAGTGTGTATTCGTATTAGTTTATTGGTAAAATAATATTGAGTTAGAACAGAAATAGTTAAATATTTGGTAGGGATGGACGGGATTGAATTTTTAGTTCGGGACGGGACGGGACGGGATTTTTATTTCCTTCCCGATTTTCGGGACGGGACGGGACGGGATTTTTTTCTGTGCATAAAAAGAAAGTACTGTATTGCAGTTACCAAAAAAGACATACAAAATCAATTTTTACCATTTGTGGCACTGATCTATAAGCACCAAAAGTGGGTAACAATTTACAGGTACCTATAGAAACTTGTGACTCGCGGGTCACGGGGTGATCGTCTGTATGACTCACGGTCAACGGTCATGGCGCGATCATCGTCATGACTCGCGGTCACGGCGCGATCGTCGGTATGACTTCGCGGTCACGGGGTTATCGTCGGTATGACTCCACGGTCACGGCGCGATCGTCGTCATGACTCGCGGTCACGACGCGACCGTCGGTATGACTCGCGGTCACGGCGCGATCGTCGTCATGACTCGCGGTCACGGCGCGATCGTCGTCATGACTCGCGGTCACGGCGCGATCGTCGTCATGACTCGCGGTCACGGGGTTATCGTCGGTATGACTCCACGGTCACGGCGCGATCGTCGTCATGACTCGCGGTCACGGCGCTATCGTCGGTATGACTCGCGGTCACGGCGCGATCGTCGGTATGACTTGCGGTCACGGCGCGATCGTCGGTATGACTCCGTGGTCACGGGGTTATCGTCGGTATGACTCGCGGTCACGGCATGACTCGCGATCACGGCTCGATCGTCAGCATGACTCCGCCATCACGGCATGATCGTCAGTATGACTCCGCGGTCATGGCGCGATCGTCGGTAGGACTCCGCGGTCACGGCGCGATCGTCGGTAGGACTCCGCGGTCACGGCGCGATCGTCGGTAGGACTCCGCGGTCACGGCGCGATCGTCGGTATGACTCGTGGTCACGGCGCGATCGTCGGTAGGACTCCGCGGTCACGGCGCGATCGTCGGTATGACTCGCGGTCACGGCGCGATCGTCGGTAGGACTCCGCGGTCACGGCGCGATCGTCGGTAGGACTCCGTGGTCACGGCGCGATCGTCGGTATGACTCGCGGTCACGGCGCGGTCGTCGGTAGGACTTCGTCTCCTGCGTTCGCGGACCTATCGCTCGCAATAACGGCGTTATCGGCACTCGCGAAGCGGAAAAATCGCCGATGATCGGACCAAATCCCGTCCCGAAAAATTCCCGAGTCAAATGTAATCCCGTCCCGATAATCGGGAATATTTTTTTCCCGAAAAATTCCCGAAATTTCGGGACCCGTCCATCCCTAATATTTGGCCATATTATTGAGTGGGAACCGAGAGAGAGTTGGAGCGGAAGGGGTTGTGGAGATACAAAGAGGAATACAGAATGTTAGGGTGTAGATTATAACTGAATATTATTTTATAAACATTGTTGACCATACATGGTTAACAAAATAAATAAAAGGAATACATTATCTCAAAAATATAAATGCACTAGCGGAATACCCATGCTTCGCTGCGGAAACTTTCAGATTGGTTGATATTTTTAATAAATTAGTGTTTAAGTTCAAGCAGCCTTCAGTCAACAATTCAGCTACAACCTGTTTTGCTCCAATTGATGTCATATTAAAGCAGCTACCTATTATAATGTCTCACCCTGTCCATAAAGTGTGTATTCTCAGGGTGGTTGCCCATGACCAGACTGCATAAAGGTTCAGGTAGGTGCTGCAAAGGTAGTAGCTGCACTTGATTTCAGCTAACACCACCATTGATTACAGTACATGCCTGTTGTTTCTTCTTTCCATTTTAAGGCTTCGCAGTACTTACATTTGAACCACCGAGCTATCTCCTTCATAGTCTGTTTTCGGATTATATGTCATTGTTGATAGATGTTTCACCATCCATTGAATCTTTGGCAAATTGATTTCAGGATGAGTTTGTTCATACCTTTTGCTTGCGTTCTTCACCTGTGCTGATTTTTCTTTGTGTGTCTGTGCACCTGCTACTTCGTTTACGCCTTAGTAGTTTGTTGAGATTCCGGAATCGGCTGACGATTGGGAGAAACGGGCTCTTTTTGTGGCTCTTAAACGTCCAAGTGCCCGCTAGACAGGGATTGTGTGAATCTGAGTCTTTTCACGGGATTACGTTCATCACCAAACTTGACATATAATTCACTATTCCGATAAACCTCAAAAACAAATTTGAATAGTTGTGAAGCTACAACCAGCTCACACAACCCACCAAAGGTAACCGGCTTAGACATTAATAGAAGTATTCCCTAGAATTGAGGTAATTATTCCCGTCACTGTCGTAGAATATAAATGAGAAGTAATCCCAGTTCCTAACATTTTTAACAATTGCTTCGCGCACAGTTAGTGTGTGCATGTGTGTACGGTGATATAAATGAAGTGAAAATTATAAATGAGAGTGAAGTAAATAAACACGCTTCATCTCCTCTGATGTGAATGATAGGCCTATTGTATGGAACGAACTTGCCATAAAACCTCCATACTATGAAACAGTTTAAACAACTACAAAAAATGTTAACAGAACTATATATCACAAGTTCTCACTTAAAAAGGTAAAATGCAATAAAAAAACTAAGTTCAATTCTACTTTCGCCAACACTAATCACACATATTAGAAGTTGATAAAACTAAAATGCCACAATAAATTAGTTTAATTTCACTGACACACAACTATGATGTTTATATGGTCTGAAATAACCTTAGTAAACTTAATTTTTATTCTAACAGCTGATGATTAAATAAATTGCAGACAAATGTAAACAAAAGCTCAAAACAAATTATTCTTCCTATACAAACTCCATGCTAACTTTGACCTTCTGTGGGGCGGGGCTCATTGGGAATTTTGTAAAATCGCTTCTTATTGTCTGCCTACACTATGAGAGGAATATGTATGCAAAATCTCGTGCTTCTAGGTGCTATGGTTTGGCCTGTGCGTTGATCGGAATTTCACATTTGTATATAGAGATTATAATATTAGTAAGATAATTTAAAATAAAGTAATGGTCGAGAACATAGTATAATTTCACTTGTTCTACACTTGATAAAGAAGGCGCTGATTCTGTTTCACCTTTTTTACTTGTTTTTGAAGATAATGGGAGTTCTTCTGAGTCTAGTCTAGAGTGGAAATCAACTTTGCCCGTTCAATAGTATCTTAGAAGAAATTGTTCACATTAATTTAGTTACTGTACTTCTGTTGTTCAAGTTGTATTTAAAAGCAAGCTATTGTGATTTTGTAACCAAGAAGCCTAACCTTTTTTTTAATCAAAATTAGTAATAAAGAAACTTTTTAAGGGAGCAGTTATTATTATTTGATACTCTTAAAGGCAACAAGACAAGAAACACAGAAACATACAATCCTTATATACAGGGTGAGTTTTAAATGTCCCCCCCCCCAACTTTTTTCTACATTGTTTTAAATATAAATCCCAGACCACTTCCAAACATTGTTGGGTAGTAAGTACTTCATTTTGACAAGGTGGTCATTTCCGGCCGCCATCTTGGATCCGCCATATTGGATGCAAATTTTTTTTTTTCAAATGTAAAGGTGGGGTTGTGACCCATTATTTCAAATTAGATTTTTACCCTGATTACAATGCCACAAACCGTTTCAAAAAATCTTGATTCATTCAAAAGTTATGAGGGCTTTTAAAACTTTATTTTTAGCCCATTTTAACATTGTGCATTTACAAACTAAGGACCATAATCTTAAAATAGTGCCAGATAAAGATAAATATACAGTACCAGTCATTGTCGACTTATTTTCACTTGGTTATGACTGATGTATTTTTTTCGGCCGCCATCTTGGATCCGCCATTTTGAAATATGATAAATTATTCTAAATATGAAGGGGGTGTTGTGACCCATCATTTCGGATTACTTTTTTAAGTTGAACTCAATTCTATGATCCGTTTTTCATTTTCATATTTTGATTTTGAAATATTCACATTTTTAACCAAAAAAATGCAATATCTCATAAATAAAACTTGATAACAAAAAAATGATTGCGGCATTGAGTTAAGCTTAAAAAAGTAGTTCGAAATGATGGGTCACAACACACCCTTCATATTTAAAATAATATATCACATTTCAAAATGGCGGATCCAAGATGGCGGCCAAAAAAATCATCAGTCTTAACAAAGAGAAAATATGTTGACAATGACTGGTAGTGTATACTTACCTTTATCTAGCACTATTTTGAGATTATGGTCTTAGTTTGTAAATGCACAATGTTAAAATGGGCTGAAAATCAAGTTTTAAAAAGCCCTCCTAATTTTTGAATGAATCAAGATTTTTAAAAACGGTTTGTGGCATTGTAATCAGGGTAAAAATCTAATTTGAAATAATGGGTCACAACCCCACCTTTACATTTGAAAAAAAAAATTTGCATCCAATATGGCGGATCCAAGATGGCGGCCGGAAATGACCACCTTGTCAAAATGAAGTACTTACTACCCAACAATGTTTGGAAGTGGTCTGGGATTGATATTAAAAAAAATGTAGAAAAAAGTTGGGGGGGGGGACAATTAAAACTCACCCTGTATAATACGTGAAGGTGATTTCTACGAAACACTACTCCTCCGTTAATAACTGACGGATTTTTACAAACAAGGTGTCAAAATTAAGTATTTTTTTGTGTAGACGCCCCCTTTCACAAATTCCTGTAATAAAAGTCTTCGGGCTTTGCCCCACAGGCCATCAAAATCCCAATGTATTTCTTATGAAGAAAAGATTTTGTTTACTTAAACAGACGAATAATTTGTATTAATTACAGCTGTTTATAGTAAACACATGATACACACAAGAGTGTTCGTTTTCAGAGTGAGTTCGTTTTCAGTTTCGATAACTGGAGTGGAGTGATTGATTACATTATCTTTGAGTTGACTCTTTTAAGTCAACGGAAATTGTGACTGTTATTCGTAAAAAAAAAAAAACACCTTTAATATTTTGCAGTTGCTCGAATTTAAGCAACAGGTGCACTAGTATAGTATAAAGAGAGCTACAGACTACACCTCTGGACCGATTTTTATTAAATTTACTATTTGGGTACATGTAGAATGTACATGGATCCCTGGTGTTTTTTACATTTATTTGAAACCTAAATTTTCAAATACAAATCCAGAAAAATATGATTTTTACAAAAACAGCTTGAACGATTTTGATTTAAATTTAGAGGACCTTTAAACACTAAATAAAATGGCACAACAAGCAATTATATCAAATTTTCTGTTTGAAAGTTATTGCAATTTTTGTGATTTTATCTTTAGAAATACACTACCATAGTTACCCATTATGAGGGTTGATGACAAGCTAATGGGAGAAAGTATGTGTCAGTTTGCTGATATCATTTGTTTCTCTTGGTTTCAGGCCTGCTACTTGCTTGCAGCTGCATTGTGTGTGTTTGTATTTCTTGCCTTTGACGAAAAATCTTACATTTCACCCACCAACTTCCCAGGATTAGTTGCGCTGTTGCTGTTGTATGGGTAATATTTTAGTTTTTAGCAACTCTAAGCTTATTTTCTTAGATAAGAGTAATAATCATTAGTTATTGTATTAAGTTAATAAATTAAGAAAAATCTGTTTTTTTCATTATCATCAAGTTTACTTTTAACCTCTGCAACTTTCAACTCTTCAACTTTCAACTGAAATTAAATTTGAACTGAGAAAATCATGGGCAAATTTTTATTGTAATCAAAATTACATTAGATTTGAAATTGAAAATGTTTTTTAAACTGTTACATTTTTTCATTTTTATTTCATGCACATTAGCACAAAAACCATACTTAGATGATAACACTAATATTTTATGTAAAATTTCAGTGGAGTCCTGACTCCTACTTTCCGTTTATCCACTAAACACTGTTGTTAGTAAATAGCAAGTTGGGTTGAAGTAACACTTGTCTTACAGGTGGTCTTGTACAGCTCTAATGTATCCATTCAGCTTCTATTTCGATGTTCCAAGCTCGTCATTTGTTGCTCTGGCGTGTTGTAACATGTTCATAGGCATCATCACAACTGTCACCACCTTTGTACTCAGCGTCTTTGATGATGAGGTAACTAAAAATTCAAACTCATGCCAACCAGTAGAACCTGGTTATTTCTAAAACCTCTATAACTAAAACTTGAAAACAAAAAGAGATGTGGATTTCAAGTTTAAACTAAAAAGTTGCTTGGAATTGTATTACCTTTGACATTTTATGCAATTTGACATTATGCTAATATATAAAACAGGTTTGAGTTTTGACTGTATAACTATTATCTAAAAGGAATATGTTTTTAAATTTTTGTTTTTGTAATACTATTGTAGTATGACATATCCATTTCAAGCTTAGTTTATAAGGAATGAAAACTTTTAAATCAGAATAGAGTTAAAACTGTTAAAAGCAAATCAAATCAAATCAACTTATTGTTGTAGACATTTCACAATGCATTAACAATCGTCACAAAGACAAAATACATAATGCTGTTATTAATACAGCAAATGAATACTTACATGTAATCTTCTATCTTCTACTATACTATTCTTATATACTATTATAAAGAAGAGGTGGTGTCTGTGTGTTTGTATGAGATAATCTCAAAAACTACTGAACCGACTGGGCTAAAATTGCACACAAATGAAGCTACAGCTCCGAGGATACATATAGAACTATTCCCGCTTCGATATTGTCCTAGGGCTCTGCCCCATGGGCTTTCAAAAATTTGAGGTGAGAGATTTAAAAGTAAATTTTGATTGATGGTATCCATGGTAACAAAGAAGAAACCTACAAAGTTTAAAAATGTAAACAAGCAGATCTAACTGTCAAATTAATTTTGATTTCACAATTCCACACAGCTGGTTCATTTAGAACAGAGAGGGTAAGGATTATAAATTTAAAATAATGATGTCATTAACCCGAATGTAAACATTATTTAACATTACCTAAAGGAGCTGTCAAACCATGGTAATGTAATTTCATTAGTATAGGGTTCTTTTAGTTACTTCATTTGTTTATGATCTAACTATACTGAGTCTGTTATAATATTAAAGAGTAAAAATGCTACTTTAGCCCCGCAACGCATGCATTAAAAACGACTGTTTTTACTGCAGTATGACAAAAACAATATAATATGAACCCTTGATGACTCCGCTCAATTTTGTGGATGCATCTGCGAACGCCACCTATTATTTATTTATTTTTATAATAATTAATTGTAAAAGAAATCATTCATGGATATAGGAAATAATTAATATTCTATATTGCCTTATCCTGAGTTATGAGGTATATTCTTTTGATTTATTTGTTTGTAAACAGTAATATAATCCCCCTGCCGCAGCAAACCTATAGACTGATTAAATTCCCATTTGCCTGATTATAATTTCACTAAAATATGTTAGAAAATTACCCTACTAACAGGTTTGGAACTATTGTGATAGGTTTTCGTTTACAGTGCAAACCATTAAACACGTTCTTTTATTATAGGTGCCTTAAAATCTATCATTGGTTTTGTATCCTTGGTAGCCTAAATAAGTATTCACAGTATGAGTTAACAAAAACATACTGTTATAAAGTTAAGTAATAGAGTTAAATTTCGCTTCTAAATTAAACCGTAGGAGTGAAACCGTTTGTAATTTTCAGAGAACCAACATTGTCTCTTTTGCATACTGACCCTGTTGCAAGGCACGAGTATAGCTGCTAGCAAATACGAATAGTAGCGCTGGTTGCAGTAGCGCCATTCAAATAACAAGCGACCGGCGCAACTAATTGTGACCAACGGGATTGATTTATTTATTATCTTATATAAATTAGAGTTGATCATGTATCACCACAAAGTCTTCTTTCTAAATCAATTACAATTCCATAATACCCTCGCCGCAGCAAACCTGCAGCCAAAGCAAATGTCCATTTGTGTGATTTTAGTTTCAATTAAATCTAATTCAATAACATTAGGTTTAACGAGTACCTAGGTTTGCTGCTACAGGGAGGGGAACAAAGTGTGATTTTTAGGAAAATATTATTAGCTTTGTATAAAATTTTAAAAATTGCCAATTTTTTAAAAAATATTTCCATAAACAAGCAATATTACAACAGTTTACTTATCCTACTAATTTAATAAGTAAGAAAGTTTGGATGTATGGATGGATGAATGGATGTTTGTGACAAGTAAACGCAAAAAATACTAAACCGACAAGGTTGAAGTTTGGTATGATGATAGCTGACATTCCCGATTAACATATAGGCCCTAGACACTCTTACCTAAAAAATCGTTCCGGGCTCCGCCCCAGTACAGTGGCTCTGGAGTTTCTCATGTTAACCTTATGAGTATTCATATTTAAAGGAATTCAAGAATTTTGTCAGCCGTTTCAACTGCACAAGTTGGTTCTATGATATTACATAGCATTAAAACGTTATAAGGCTTACCAACAGGGTGCAGCCCTATTATGTTTTTTGCATTTATGACAACGCCTAATTTGAACCAACTAGCAACAAAAAGTTGTGGTACACAATGAAAACTTTACTTTTTTCATTGGTAGAGTGCAGTGGTAGAGCATTAGGGCTATGGTATATGTGTGCTACACTATAGGATACCGTATAAATTAAAAGACCAAATTTTCTTAAACCGTCTCCTCTCCCATCACTGCAATGATCATTTTGTACTTATATGCCAACACCGTACGAACGACGGGTATTCTGCTAGTCAATCAATATAATAAGACCTAGTACAAAAAAATATATATAAAATACAGGCACAATTAAATATAAATATTTTGACATCATTCTACACAGTTGAGGAGTTCATAAACTGGAGAACATCACCGATGTTCCAGTGAGAACTATAACATCCCTCATAGTAATAACCATCACTACCGACAGTGCCTCAAAGCCCAACAACTTTATGCTGTTTTATATTTAAATCTCTGTAATGTTTGACGCCTATTCTGTACTCTATGTTCAAGAACAAAGTATTCTGATTCTGATTACAGTAACATCCTATAGATTTTTGGGTATGGTTCACATCACTGAGTGTGGGAGCGGAAATACCGATATTCATAGAAAGTGGCTGTCAAACCGAGCTACTCTCAAAACAAGGTCGGTTAAAATAAACAGGAATATTTCACAAGTGAGAGCGGATAGTCCGATTATCGGTTAATGCGAGTTGGGTTAAGAGGGTACACCTGTAGTGGACACCGTACAAGATTCAACTTGTATAACGGTTTCATCCTTGTTTTCAGGAACTGAAGGAGGTCTCAGATGTGTTGAAAGTGTTGTTCCTTGTGTTCCCCCACTACTGCTTGGGTTCAGGACTTCTTAAACTAGCCAGCAGTCAGATTGCCAAGGACTCCCTGGCTGCCTTTGGTCAGTTAGAACATTCACAAAACTATATTAAATTATTCAATAATATTTTATTATTAGACTCTCATTAGAAGACCTGCCTATAAATATCTGCTTTTTGGTTAAGGCTTATGCGTTAAAGGTTAAAAAAATTTCACATAAATTATACAAACTTTCATAAATTTGTCTCCATTTTAGTGAGTTTAACACTGCCAATGCCAATCATCACCACAAGCATGAGTAGAAGAGCAGGAGGGGGGCGGGGCTGTTTTAATTAATCATGCGGTGCTACAACCAACTATAAGCAGCTGTTGGCTGTAAACCTGCATTTTGTAGCAATCTGGAAGAATAACACTGAATAAAATTTAAACCTTGCCATGTCTACAAGTTGGTTTGTGATATTTTACATAATTATGCATTAAAGAAGTAAATTAAAATAATGTAAATATTATTTACATATACAGTATTTTCTCAAAAAGGGGGGCTTCAGCCCCTCTGGATCCGACTATGATAATATGTTAAATAAGTACCCCCGCCACAGCAAACCTGCAGACTAAGCGAAATTCCATTTGCCTGATTGGATTTTCAATTAAATCTACTTGAATAACATTACGGTTTAACAAGTACCTTGGTTTGCTGCTACAGGAAGGGTAATAAAGTGGGATTTTTAGTAGAATATCAGTTATTGTATCTTATGTTATTTTCACATAAAAATCCATTAATAACGGAAATCGGATTTTAAAAAAACTGGTATTGATTCAAAATAGTATGTTATGGTCCTTATAATTCTAGAAAAAGTTCAACCTCCCATTGCTGTAAAAATTACAGTTTAAAAGTTATTGGAACTTTGTGGTTTTTCGTATAAAATATCATAGTTACTCCCACCGCTTACTAATGAAAAAGGTTGTTGACAAGCTAATGGAGGAAAGTATGTGTCAAATTGCTGATACCGTTTATTTTACTGCATTTAATAGTGCATACACATTGCGTAAAATCAGTCGCACTAAATTCCTTGTCATCTATTCAGGGAACGTCGAACGTCAAGCAGAGGTTGTTCACGCTCGCTGCGTACAAAAATTGGTGTGGAGGGGCAACCTCACCTCTAATATCACCCCCCTCGATCTAAAGCTGTATCTGCCACTGCCTAGAAGTGCTTAGCAATTTTTCAAAATATTTCATTTGAAATTTTTTTTAATATTCAATTTTGAATTTCTTTATTACTATATTAGACATAAGATATATAGAATCTGTTTGTTTAAAATCTTATTTTTAAACAATTAAAGGTTGTGGTTTACACTTTACAGATATAGTTCTCAGTCCCAGCATCTTTGCCTGGGGTTTCCTCGGTCAGCCACTACTGTGTATGTTCCTCACTGGTATTTTGTTCTTCTTCATCACTTTAGTAGTGGAATTTAAACTCTACAAAACGCTTTTCTCAATTTTTAGGGAGAAAGTAAGTCAACATTTTTTATTGTTGTATTGTTATTACTTTTTATAATATGTTTAAACCTTTAAATAGTTAAGCAAATTTTAACCTTAAAATAATTAATACTTATTAACGGTAATGTTATTTTAAGGTTACAAATAAACTTAATGTATTTAAGCCCAAGTATTTGAACAAAGTCAATGAAATATGGTATACCAAATGTGTTGGGTCAGATGAATGAAATATTATTGTGTTTGTATGGTTTGCTTAAGATACTGAAAATGGGAGCAATACTGTCTTAAGGTGTAAATATTTAAAACTTAAATGTTAATATAAAACCTGTTTAAATGAAGCAAAGTTACATACAAGTTAGTTACAAATGGAAAGACACAAAAAAAAATAACTGTAAAATAAAATACAATAAAAGCGAATGTTTAAATTGAGTCAAAAACTTTTGATAATTTTTTGTTAACAGGTAGATAAGATCACACTTAGTATTAAAGGTCCAGGTGTAATCACTTCTTGCCATCAATAATTATTAAAAAAAATATTAAATTGATGGTACAGTAGTGATAAATTATGAATTCAATTTGTACAAACCATCATTCATGTTACCATAGACTTCAATATCAGATAAATATCCATTAAAAAACTACTTTAACTAGATAATCTCTTAAATTGTAAGTTGCCAGACAGCAACCGTTTTCAAAATCGTCTAACTTTGTGCAGAACATGAAGCTACCAGCGCCGCAGGATGAGGAGGATGTAGCTACTGAGAGAAACAGGATACGTTCTGGAGACACGAGACAAGATATCCTGCTGGTCAAGGACTTAGCCAAGGTGGGTGGTCACAGCTAATATTAGAGCCTAATAATAAAAACTACCTTAATTTAAAAAAGAGAATGTAAGTCTTCTGTTATTTGCCTGTTGTTTGAAATTGTTTCGATTTAATAGTAAATTTGTTGTAATTGATTTCTATAATCTTGATTGTGATAACCGTAAAATTGTGTATTCATCATGGATAAAAGTGTTCCCTTTGCAGGTTTACAAAACTAGTGGAAGTGTGAAGCCTGCAGTGAACCAGGTGTGCTTTGGAGTGCGGCCGGGCGAATGTTTTGGTCTACTAGGTCTCAACGGTGCCGGCAAAACATCCACTTTCAAAGTACGTTAACTGTTTTCTTTCATACAGAAGACTGAGTTGGCTTAAATCAAAAAAATTCTATGATTATGCTTGTGGTTAAAAAAGTGATATTTATGTTTATCCTGTATTTCCATGTTAAATAACTAAACTAAAAGTATAAATGTTTTCAATAGTGCTGCATAAATGAGTAAACAGTTTTTACTCCTATTTATCAATTTATAATCTACACTAATTTGTTTGTAAGCTTTTATTCCCTTCATTTTACTTTTACTTTGATAAGAATCCAATCTGCTTTTATTAGCTGAGTATAAATGCAGGAGGAATTCATCCCTGTTACTGAGTAAGACTAAGGGCAGGGTTTGGAGCTTGGGACTAATGCTATTCTCGGACTAAAATCTAATTTTTATTTTTTTTTACATCTTAACTAGTCCTGGACTTACTTTCATGGGCTTTGGAGTCACAGGTTATATAATCCTTGAATTAAGTTTAATTCAACCAGGTTTCAGACCCAAATATATTTAATCCACAACTAGAATACTAACTCGAGGAATAAATATTAGCAATTTTTAGGTATGGGGGAGGACAGGACTAAGGTTAACTTATTTTTTTGTTATAAGTACTCAATTTGTGAAGTTTTATCTATATATTTGTCAAATTCGTAATCGGCACAAAAATACTATAAATTTTATACCTCTTAATTTTTTGTCCTTAACTTTTATTTTTCTCTTAAGTATGAGAAAAAAACAGCTTTCAATGAATACTGTTATAATACAAGTTATGCTAAAGACTATAATAGGCCAAATGGACCCTAAAGTTAATATTAATAAGGTAATTAAACGTAGATTTTAAATAATATAATGATAAAAGAAAAACTAATATGAAAAAATAATTCTTTAGCATTTATTATTTTTATTGATCTCGTGCAGTTCAATTTCTTTTTACGTGGTGATGGTGATTGCAAGCTTCTGTGAGGGTACACACAAATATGCTGTGTCGTGAAAAGTAAATAGTTAAGCTCAAAATCTTTACTATTGTATGTACAAATTTAGCAGTTGGAGGGGCAGGCTCATCCGGGGGTCACCATATTTATTGGAAGCAGCGTCATCCACGGAAAAGGGATTTACCTATTTTTCTTAGTTTTGATATGTGTTATTGAGTAACTTTCATTTTCTTTGCTTTTTATTTATGACTTTTTACTAAGTAATTTTCAAACACAACACTCCTGATTATCCGAGGTATACGGGACCGAGGCTGCCACGGATACCGGGAATCTCGGATAAAATGGAGGTCACTTTTATTTTAAAGTTAGTCTATAGCAAGACGACTTTAATAATGTAATACTGTATTTGTATAAAGAATACTTTTAATCAAAGCGAACAGTATATCTAGCATAAAACATAACTATATTAGTATTGTTTTCAATTAAAATTCATGTTAAGTATAATGATTTGGAATTTGGGTCAAAAATAAAAACAAATATTTCAGCCTACACCTAACTCGGATAACCTGGGGTCTTGGATAACCGGGGCTCAGATGATTGGGAGGTAACTGTAGTTGCTTGGACACCTACTTATTCTCTACTACTCTATATAGTACTTCCAGAAATCATTAAATGATCAAAATAAAATTATTGTTAGGTTATTGTACTCATTTTGATGTGTTTTACAGATGTTAACTGGAGCTACTGCCATGACCAGAGGATCGGCCTCAGTACAAGGCCATGATGTTGCCTCGGAGCTGGATACTTTCAGGTCTCTCCTCGGTTATTGTACTCATATTGTTGTGTTTTACAGATGTTAACTGGTGCTACTGCCATGACCAGAGGATCGGCCTCAGTACAAGGTCATGATGTTGCCTCGGAGCTGGATACTTTCAGGTCTCTCCTCGGTTATTGTACTCATTTTGTTGTGTTTTACAGATGTTAACTGGAGCTACTGCCATGACCAGAGGATCGGCCTCAGTACAAGGTCATGATGTTGCCTCGGAGCTGGATACTTTCAGGTCTCTCCTCGGTTATTGTACTCATATTGTTGTGTTTTACAGATGTTAACTGGTGCTACTGCCATGACCAGAGGATCGGCCTCAGTACAAGGTCATGATGTTGCCTCGGAGCTGGATACTTTCAGGTCTCTCCTCGGTTATTGTACTCATTTTGTTGTGTTTTACAGATGTTAACTGGAGCTACTGCCATGACCAGAGGATCGGCCTCAGTACAAGGTCATGATGTTGCCTCGGAGCTGGATACTGTCAGGTCTCTCCTCGGTTATTGTACTCATTTTGATGTGTTTTACAGATGTTAACTGGAGCTACTGCCATGACCAGAGGATCGGCCTCAGTACAGGTTCATGATGTTGCCTAGGAGCTGGATACTGTCAGGTCTCTCCTCGGTTATTGTATTCATTTTGATGTGTTTTACAGATGTTAACTGGAGCTACTGCCATGACCAGAGGATCGGCCTCAGTACAAGGTCACGATGTTGCCTCGGAGTTGGATACTGTCAGGTCTCTCCTCGGTTATTGTCCTCAGTTTGATGCTCTCGACCCTCTCCTCACTCCAAGAGAACACCTTGAGTTATACGCTCGACTCAGGAATATTCCAAGAGCTAAGATGCAACAAGTAATGTGTTAACAATTTTCTTTTTGTATAACATTTTTTTGCAATAATATAGGGGAAGTTTGGGAGCTCGAGCCCAGCTAGTAGGCGCCTAGTGTTAGACGCGCCTAACTTCTAACTTTAGTACCCGGTTCAAATACCAGGCTTGGGAGCTTGCGCCTAAGTTGTAATGGTCATAGAGCAAGTATAGTCGGGACTAAGTCACAGTGCGGCTAGATAGGCAGGGAATCACGGGGAATTTAGGTTTTGAGGTTGGCAACGGCCACTGCAGAACTTGTTACCGTCGACAACAACAAAAGATGAACAATTATTGAAGATGAATAAAATTTAATCTTCATATATCAATGGTATCAATAGTAGACTATGGTGTAAGTTTCTGCATTGTACCATTGCAAAAATGTAGTTTTGTAAGATCATTTTACATCTCAATGACTGAAGAACCATAACATTTTATAGAATCTTTTAAGAGTTAACTTTATTTTCACTTTACTTTTTAAAATTATTTAATCAGTTGTCTTTAAGTACCGGTACTACAACTTATAAATACGTACAGACCAACATAGGTTTCTGAAAATCAATATATCTTATACTAATCCAATATTTTCTTTTTCTTCTAGGGATCAGAATCATTAATCATTTAACAAATTTCACCCCATGTGTGGAACGGTAACAGCTGAAACTCGGTGTCATGCAATTGAAATCTTCAAAATTAAACAGCAATTACCCTGTATAATATAGGGGCATTGAAGGAAATAAAAAAAATAAAAAATATTTGAATTAATTTCGGAGGTAATTATTGTGCGAAGCCAAGGTAATTGTAAAATATACCTTTTAATACTTAAAAAATTAAAAAAAAATGTGTCCAAGTTTTAAAGCATTAAACATGACACTCTTTTAGCGAATTTCCCTTTAGGGAAGTAGCTATTACCGTAGGTGGCATTTAGTTTTGGGACCGATATACTTTTACATTTTGATGTCCCTAGAGGCCAAACTTGTCAGATAATGAACATCAACTGTAGACAATGTTTTGACACTTGAGATAAACCAATTGTTGTATCAATCGCCAAACAAAAATTCCCCCTTCCCACCCATCAGTGCTTGGGGTGTTGATAATGGCCATTTGATAACAGGCCCACTGCATTCCAAAGCAACTGGACTTTTGACTTCCTCATTCACCACCCCCCTCGTTGTTTGTGTTGCGCTGACCTTTCACTGCCGCACGCAACCCTCACTGATCACGTGAAATAAATAACCCATATTTAGATGCTTCCGCATAATTGGTAAAGTTAGTTAAAAATTCTAACTAGTTAGAAGTTATTAGTTAATACCGTAAAAATTAACTAATAGATATTATTAGTTTTAAAACTAAAGAATGAAATAGAAGTTAGCCAAAAAAACTAACCAATATTGCTATTTGTTAGAATTTCTATTAGTTATTCCCAAGTATGCCTACAAGCCACTAGTAGTGATATTGAATTTATAACTGCTGTCACTTACAGCTGCATTGGTCACAAAGAGTCTTAGTAAATTTAACAAATAACAGTTTTTTTGTTTAGTTACTAATTTCATTCTTATAGTTGTGTAGTAACATGGCTATAGTAATCAATAAAACAATCTGCATATATCATCCCTTATGTATTAGTAAAACAATTTAGTGAGTCGGGGTCTCCTTTGGTGATTTGACACTCTTGTATATGATGTTCCATTATGATGATGACACTGTTGTTGTACACAGGAAGTAGACCTCAGTCTCAAGTATCTGAGACTTGGTCACTACAGTGATAGACTCGCAGGAACTCTATCTGGAGGCAACAAGAGGAAACTCTCCACTGCCATAGCTCTGCTAGGCAACCCTCCAATAGTTTACTTGGTAAGTTAACAATACTACACGTACTGACAACTCAAACGCCATCCCTCAATCAGGTCAATGGCATTGATGTGTGTCTTGAATAAAACACAACTTAAGTTTTAAGACTATCTATCTATCTATCTATCTATCTATACTATTATAAAAAAGAGGTGGTTGCTGTATGTGTGTATGGGAAAAGTAAACTCGAAAAATACTGGTCGGATTGGGCTGAAATTTGGCATGATGATAGCTCACATTCCCGATTAACATATAGGCATATTCTTATTTCAAAAATCCTTTCGGGCTCCGCCCCAGTGGCTCTGGAGTTTCCCATGTTAACCTTAGGAGAAATGGAATTATTGAATCTTAACAGCTGTTTCAATTAAACAAGTTGGTTCTGTTCTATGATGTTCAATAGCATTAAAGTTACAAGGATTACCAACAGGGTGCAGCACTATTATTTCTTTTACATTTATGACAACAGCTAATTTGCAACCAAAAGGTGAGTGAGCGTAGCGAACGAACTTCAACCTGGAGGCGAGTTAGCGTAGCGAACGAGCTAACCCGAAGGCAAGTGAGCGCAGCGAACGAGCTCCAACCTAAAGGTGAGTGAGCGTAGCAAACGAGCTCCAACCTAAAGGTGAGTGAGCGTAGCGAACGAGCTCCAACCTAAAGGTGAGTGAGCGTAGCGAACAAACTTCAACCAGGACGTGATTGAGCCATGCGAACGAGATAATCTTGAAAATTAAGAAGTTAAACGGGGCAAAGCCCGCGGGTTACAGCTAGTTTATTATAAATTGAAATCAACAAAGACTGAAATACAATAGACTGCAGTAATTGAGCCGAGCTTTGAGCCGACATCTTGAATTCTGTATGGGAAATGCAAACCCACTTAAAAGACAATACACAAAGCACAATTAGTAATACCTCTGTAAACATGGGCATCAACTATACATATACATACTAAAACTACTACTTTAAATATATAATCCAGCTACTAGGAGGTAACGAATTGTGGATATTTATAGGCATGCACTGTGAATGCGATATTCCCTGGTGTGGATTAACCATAATTCGCACTGGATTTTAATTGTCAGAGCATTGCTTGGGGATACAAAGAGACAAGTGAAAATGGGACAAAACTTGAAACCTGGGCTGAGGCAAATGACCTGCAGCTCATACACGATCCTTAGCTCCCTTGCTCCTTTAACAGCGGTAGATGGAAGAGGGGTTATAACCCTGACAACATCTTTGTGAGCAGCAGGATTGCCTCCCAGTATGAAAAGTCTGTAGGTGATCCGATTCCCGAACTCAACACAGACCTATAGTATGCACCGTTAGTGCTGTTGTTAAACCTGAAGGTGTTCCTCTAAGGCGCAGGATTAATTTCAAAAAGGCCAACTGGACAGGTTTTAGGGAGATCATTGACAGAGAATTCGCCAGTATCCCTCCACAACCTGATATGTATGAATCCTTCGTTAAGCTTGTCCAGCAGGTATCGAGAAAAATGATACCTAGAGGCTGTCGAACCCATTACATCGCAGGACTCTCTGAAGAGGCAAAGCCACTGCTAGAACGATACCAAGGTCTCTTTGACAATGATCCCTTTGCTGAGGACACACTTCTAGCAGGTGAAGAGCTTATGTCAGTCATTGCCGAAAATCGCAAAACTAAGTGGTGTGATCTTGTGGAGAGTTTAGATCTGCAGGTGAACAGCAGACAGGCCTGGAAGTTCCTCAAGAACATAAATGGAGATGCGACAAAACCAAAAGACAACTTTATAACAGTTACTGCCGATCAAGTCGCTACCAACCTTCTTTTAAATGGCAAAACCTATGGAAGGAAATACCAGGAGTCTGTTGTGCGTGATGTGGCAAGTGAGAATCACTTCCTGGAAGATCCATTCACCACGTCCGAGCTAACTACAGTCATTACCAGCTTAAAGACTAATAGAGCTCCAGGTATTGACGAGATCAGAGTCGAACAACTAAAGAACCTAGGTAAAAATGCCATGCAATGGTTGTTGAGCCTCATGAACATGTGCGTACGCCAAATGCATATACCAAAGGCATGGAGGAAAGCTCGTGTGGCTGCACTGCTCAAACCTGGGAAAGATCCAAACGATCCTAAGAACTTTCGACCTGTTTCCCTCTTATGCCACACACATAAAATATTAGAACGTCTGATACTCAATCGAATCGGCGATTTTCTGGAACAAAAGATCATTCCACAACAGGCAGGCTTTCGATCAGGCAAGTCTTGTTGTGTCCAAGTTTTAAACCTGACCCAGCACATTGAGGATGGGTTTGAGAGAAAACAGATCACAGGTGTCGCTTTTGTAGATTTAACAGCTGCCTACGATACCGTAAACCATCAAAGACTCTTGGGAAAAGTGTACAGTATTACCAAAGACTATCAGCTGACTTCAATGATAGGCACTTTTCTTCATAACAGGCAGTTTTTCGTGTCCCTTCAAGGCAAGAAAAGTAGATGGAATGCAAGGAATCCAAGAAATGGATTGCCTCAGGGTAGCGTCTTAGCCCCAGCTCTTTATAACATTTACACTAACGACCAACCGTTGCCAAACGCTACACGTCAGTATATATATGCCGATTATACGGCGGTGGCGGCACAAGGTAGGAGGTTTCAAGAGGTGGAACAGAAGCTGACTATGACTCTAAATGAACTTTCCCAGTACTATGACGCAAATCTCCTCAAGCCGAACCCTGCAAAGACCCAAGTTTGTGCCTTTCACCTAAACAATAGAGAAGCAGGCCGTGAGTTGAATGTGAGGTGGCGGGGAGACCGTCTTCAGCATTGTCCTACACCCAAATATCTTGGCGTCATACTGGACCACACACTGACATTTAAGGCGCATTGTATTGCGACAAGAGGTAAAGTCTCAGCGAGGAATAATACCACCAGGAAGCTCACCAGCAGATGCTGGGGTGGTAACCCCAATGTCCTTAGAACCTCAGCTTTAGCGCTCAGTGTGTCGGCTGCGGAGTACGCTGCACCAGTATGGAATGCATCGTCACATGCAAAAAAGGTTGACATTGCAGTCAATGGCATGGCTCGGATTGTAACTGGGTGTTTGAAACCCCCAGTATACAAACTCTATCCTATCATAAGGATCGCCCCTCCATCAATCCGACGTGATGTCGCTGCCGACGTAGAAAGGACTAAGCAAGAGACAGACCCTCGTCACCCATTACACGGCCACCAACCTGCAGAGCGACGGCTTCGGTCCAGAAAGAGCTTTTTATCACGGACACGAGTCCTGGATGGATCACTCTCAAGCAATTGGGTGTCAAGGTGGGAGGCCACGTTGACTAACCCTCCCATACCAGTCAGGGAGGAACTGGCTCCTGGTGGAGGCCTTCATTACACGGTGTGGAAGACCCTAAATCGAATTAGGGTCGAGGTACCAAAATGCAAGACAAACATGCAGAAATGGGGTCTCTTACCAGACGAAGAAAACATCTTGTGCGCGTGTGGTGCTGTTCAGGATCCTGGCCATCTGCTGAGCTGCCCACGCCTAGACCAGTCTTACACATTAGATGATCTTTTACATGCGAATGACAAAGCCATATCGGTAGCTAATTTATGGAAAAGCGAAGTCTGATTTCCGGACACGGAAAGTAAGTAACATCCGCACTAGTGAGTACTACGACTATCCGCAGTACTATCCTGATAATTAGACCAATATCCTCAACTCAACCTGAAAAACCTATGCTCGCAAATCTCTACAAACTACATAATGTGTATGTCTTCAAAATACAGGGTGTCCCGGAACTCCCTACCAATATTTTAGGGCATTGTTCCTGGGTAGTTAACATACCTAAATATCATATTTAAATTGTCCGGAAGTCCTTAGTTACTCACACAGCCGCCATTTTGTTTTTTTAAGTTATTAATTATTTTCTAAGGAATGGTTAAACATACGAAATTGAAACTTTGCACAAACATTTATGACAACTAGACAAAGCTACCAAAAAATTAAGACGGTTTTTAAAATTCATAAAACAAAATGGCCACCATTTTAAATTTTGTTTCTTAAATTGTTTCTTAAATAAAATTGCCTTAAAAAAGTTATTCTTGTAAAACTTTTGTAAAATGAACGGTTTTCGAGTTAGCCTATATAAGAAACAAAATTTAAAATTGCCGCTATTTTGTTTTATGAATTTTAAAAATCGTCATAATTTTTTGGTAGCTTTGTCTAGTTGTCATAAATGTTTGTGCAAAGTTTCAATTTCGTATGTTTAACCATTCCTTAGAAAATAATTAATAACTTAAAATAATACCCCCGCCGCAGCAAACCTGCAGACTTAGCGAATTTCCATTTGCCTGATTGGATTTAAACTAAAATGTCTCCTTCAAAATATCACATTTATTCCTTATATAAACAGAATTAGTTTAATGAGTACTTAGGTTTGCTGCAACAGGGAGGGTAAACAAGTTTTTTTATGTAGAATATTAAAAGGTACTGTGGTTTAGTAAGAAATTAATGTATTTTCCAACTTTTATCAAAATATGTTCATAAACAAGCAAACTACAACAGTTGACTTATTCTCCATAAGAATAACATGGGAATTTTAAAATTACAATTTTTTTGAATTTTCTCCGTAACAATTAGGTGCATAATAATGCTTCAATATACTAAATTATTTGTTTTTTTAAGTTCTACAAAATGGTTTAAAAAGAAATTGTGAAATTTTGTGTTTTTAGGGTCAAAAATGGGAAAAACCTATTTTTACCCCATAAAACCCCCCATAAACCTCTGTTCCCATAGTCCGATCATGCTGGTTCGTGAACTCATTCAAATTTATCCCGCCTTACACCTTCAAACCAAATTTTATCAAAATCGGACAAAAATTACTCAAGTTATCGTGCGGATGGACACATATATATATCTCTATATATAGATATATAAAAATTTGAACGAATGGTGTTTTTGGCCTCTGGGGACATCAAAATGAAAAAGTAAATCGGTCCCGGGCTTAGGTCTTACCATGAGACCTACGGTAATAGCTACTTCCCTATAGGGAAATTCGCTAAAAACAAAATGGCGGCTGTGTGAGTAACTAAGGACTTCCGGACAATTTAAATATGATATTTAGGTATGTTAACTACCCAGGAACAATGCCCTAAAATATTGGTAGAGAGTTCCGGGACACCCTGTATAATGACAACACTGTTAAAGCCACATTAAAACCATAGACTAACCAACCCAAGTAGACTTCTCATCCCATTGTAAATTTTGAAGCTCGTTTTTCTTTTTCATGCCTAGGTCATGTCTGGTGATACTGAGCGCTAGTTTCGACAAAATTTTTTTTCCATTGTTTTACGGTCAATTTCATGATTTATGCTTGACTGTTTGGTTATATAACTAGGGAACGAATTATTGTTTATAATTAGATTGTTTTATTTGATTGAACAAGGTTTTAAATTACTGAAATAGCAAGAAACAAATTGTAAATAAAACACAACCTCTACAGTGAACTAACAAGTATTATGAAATAACTTAATGTAACTGACACTGTGCAATTATCTTGTTTGTTTGTAAAATAAAATAAAATATATTTTAAGGACGAACCCACCACTGGAATGGATCCTAAGTCCAGAAGGTTCTTATGGAGTTGCATACAAGATGTGAATCGTCAAGGTATGAAAACAAATATATGTAAATAATAGAAGGTATATTTTAGTCCTATAATTGGAAGAATCTCAGTTTTATGCCATGTAACTGTTTAAAACTACTATGGAAGCTAACTGAACTCTATCGTTTAAAATATTTAAAATCTACCTAAATTCTAAGTGTAATAATAATTTTGTTTTGGAAATGTAAACACTTCTTTGCTATAACATTATATTGACTTCATTTATAAAATATTTTTCATATTTGATATATTTGATATGGTTGTTGAGTGAAATACAGGCATTACATATGTTACAGGACGTTCTGTTATCCTCACCAGTCACAGTATGGAGGAGTGCCAAGCCCTATGTACCAGACTCACCATCATGGTCAATGGAGAGTTCAAGTGCCTGGGAAGCTCACAGCACCTCAAGTCCAAGTCAGTCTTAGTTACTTTATTATGATGAGCAGTACTCGATTTTGTTAAGCATTAAGTTTCAAAGAACCCATCAAGTATTAATAAGGATTTAACTGAGTAAATTTTAACGGTTGGAAGCATTATTGAAGGTGAAATTTTAAGACCTGTGGCCAGTGACTATTTTGAGTTCCAGATGAAAAAAAAAACTGTAAATTTATAATATTTTATGCTTCCTGGTTCTTACCTTCAGAATTTACAACACCCTACAATATAAATAAAGTTGGTATTGTAACTCATATTACATATTACAACTCATAGTATCACAATTGCATTTTAGATACAGTAACCAATCACACTGACTGACAATAACACAATGTCCAGTTTAGGACTTTTTGTTGGAACATTTATGGTCCAGCCTTTTCCTAAATCCAGCCAGCTGCCTGCTTTAACCAGATTATCGAGAGACTATTGTGTCTAAATAAAATAAGGGGATTCAAAACCAATTGAATGGCTAGAGGCAAAGAGGAAGGGTCAGGTATCATCACTACAGTTTATATTGTTGCTGCAGGTACGGTGGCGGGTACAGCTTGATAATGAGATGTCAGACAGGCAAGGCAGAGCAAGTTGAGGAGTTAGTCAGAGACAACTTGTCGTCTGCAAGCCTGGTAGAGGCCCACTATAATCAGATGAGATATCAGCTGACTGCTCCGTTAGACCTGGTATTCCAAACCATGGAGGAGGCCAAGCAGTCTGGACTAATCCTGGACTTCTCCGTATCACAAACAACTCTAGAAGAAGTAAGACAATATATATTAAATTCAATGTTTATCTAAACTTAATGATGCTATTGACTTAATATATCTTGTAAAGTCCATTTAAGTCACATAACTTCCACCCAAAACGTCTAAATGTTGTGAACAAACTATTAAGTGAAATTATTTGTTGTTTATGTTTAGGTCTTTCTGCGGTTTGCTAGTGAACAATCGGATGCCATGAAATCAAAATCAAATGTTTTTAGGAATGTACGACGAGCCATTGTACTTCAGTGTAATAAGTGCTGTAAAGGTGAGTTGATGAAACATGTTCAGCATTGTTTAGTAATCTCTTGTTATGTAACTAAATGTGCCTCATAAAATGAAAAGTTCAACCCTTTTTTTTCAAAAGGGTGTGTAGCCTCAAGATTACTTTGTCATACATAAAATGGTCTGTCTCAATACCATAGGTATTTTTTGTTGTTGTAGTAGTAACTAGTTTTGGTTCTTATCTTATATTATAAAGATAGTTTTATGAAAATATGATGATATTTATTGATTCAAATCTCTTTAGATAATCAAGCTAGCTCTACAAAAAAAGTCTGTTTAGATGCATTTAATCTAATCAAAATTCAACCTAATGAAAAACTCCAGTGAAGAACAGAGATTTTAAAAACAAATCTATTTCGCTGTTGCATTAGGTCAAATTTTCATTACGTCAAAAAGGATACTCCATTCAAAGTAGTCTGTCCTCAACGCATGCCAACAAAGGTGGGAAACAGGAAACAGCTAGGTGACATAGTCATGGACGTTTGTGACGGCATTTAGACAATTTAGACAAATAAGATATAATATTGTTGTTATTCGTTTCTACGTGATAGTTTTGTGTTGCCAAAACAGTCACACCTTAATTTTCTTTAGATAACCCAGCCAACAACAAGTTATTAGTCCAGGAATCATGAACAAGTTTGTAACTTGGTTATTGTTTCATGATTATTGGCTCTAAATATTAATTACAGTAATTCCTACAGATTTATTAATTAATATTCAGGGGGTCATCATCATTGCCACTCAAGATTGGAGCCAAATTTAGAACAGAATTTCACTTAAATGAATTAATGATGAACGATTTATTTAACATAACGTAAAATAAAAAATAAAAACTAGATTTTGGCCCTTCCTACTTACGGCAATTATTAAGCATTTGATTAAAACTAAATATAGTTCAGAACAGCTAGTTTACACACATAATTAGGGAAAATCATCTTGTAAACAAATACCACAAGACCACATATTTCTTTCGTCCATTTATAGGCCTGTACGATGTGTATTTTAAATCCAATACTTTTACAATAAATCTGTAATTTTGTTGATATGAAAAGCCTTGAAGTAGATTAGCGGTCGATTCTCACACACTGGTTTAAAGTACTGTAGCTACACCACCTTCCATAGCATACTATCACTTACATTTACGTTATTTTACCTCAGTGGCCACTGAAACCTTAAGAGAATTTTGGCCTCCCATTATCTTCTATCCCTTGCCTCTTTCAAATGTTGATCCCAGTCTGGAGAAGTCTTTCATTGCTTTGTCCTCCAAGTGGTCGTCCTACTTGTGGTACTCCTTGGAATACATTTTTAGCGAATTTCCCATATAGAGAATAAGTTATTACCGTAGTACTCATAGTGAGACCTGGACCCGGGACCTATTTACTTTTTCGTTCTGAGGTCCCTAGAAGCTGATAACACCATCCTTTAAATTCATATATATATTTATATACTAGCAGAGTACCCGTCCTTCGTACGGGGTTGGAATATAAGTATAAAATGCTTATTGCAGTTATACTCAAGCTTTGCGATTGCAATGGGTGGAGGACACAGTTTGATAAAATTTGCTTTTTTAAATTTACAGTATTCTATAGTATTACACATCTACCATAGCCATAATGTTCTACCATTTTACCTAAACAATAGAGAAAAATAAATTATCAATTCGCAAAATATCATAAATTATTCGTGAAATGAAAAACATATTCATAACTGTAAACAATCCTACTTTGACAGTTCTCATTGTGAATCACAGTTTTTCGTTGCTGCTTAGTTCAAATTAGCTGTTTTCATAAATGCAAAAAAAAAATATAGTGCTGCACCCTGTTGGTAAATCTTATAACTTTTTAATGCTTTTCCATATCATAGAACCAACTTTTTTAGTTGAAACAGCTGACTAAATTCTTTAATTCCCTTTAAATATGAATACTCATAAGGTTAACATGGGGAATTACAGAGCCACTGGGGCGGAGCCCGAAAGGATTTTTGAGATAAGAATATGCCTATATGTTAATCGGGAATGTAAGCTACCATCATGCCAAATTTCAGCCCAATCCGTCCAGTGGTTTATGCGTGATTGAACTTCAAACAAACAAACAAACAAACAAACAAACAAACACACAAACTTTCACATTTATAATATTAGTAAGATGTGTACGTTAGCGTGATAACTCGAGCAAATATTTCCCAATTTTGATGAAATTTGGTACAACATGTAAACCAACGTTTATTCGAACGAGTTCGCTAACCAGCATGATCGGACTATGGGAACAGGGGTTTATGGGGGGTTTTATGGGGTAAAAATTGGTTTTTACAGTTTTTGACCCTAAAAACATAATTTAGCAACTTTTTTCAAACCATTTTGTAGATCTTAAAAAAAATAATAATTAAGATTATTGAAGCGTTATTATGCGCCTAATGGCTACATAGAAAATTCCAAAAAATTGTAAATTTAAAATTCCCATGTTATTCTTATGGAGAAAATTGTAAACTACTGTAGTTTGATTGTTTGTGAGCATATTTTTATAAAATTTTTAAAAACGCATTCATTTTATACTAAACTATTAACATTTTACAAGTTAGGATGTGAGTAAAATACTGTACCGAAGCGATGACGGTAATTAGACCAGAGCCATACCTTATTGACGTTTTTGGTGCACCACAGACCCTTACTTATCAGTGTATAGTTGTAGTGTTAATACACTAATATTGTGTGTATGACTAATTTTAAATTGTTTTGTTTTGAAAATGTATATGTCCAGTTACAAAGGCCCCAAGGTAATACAATTTGTTTAGCATTTTTAAGGCTGACATCTTCCTGTCTCAATTTAATACTTAGTATATGTTTACAGGTACCCAAGAGCAAGAAGTATGAAGTGGATCTTTGGCATTTGTTTGGTGCAATACTCACATCTTACATGACTGTGTCGTGTCTCTCTAGTATAGCTTGTATACTACTTACTCTTGCTGTGATTTTTATTTTTAGAACATATTGTTATGTTTGTAATTTACTTTATGCATACTTTTGTTTTTATACATATAAAAACTTTTCTTTTGTTTTTATAACTGGGACTGGTGGCGTGGTCCTGTATTTCAGCTACTAGGAGGTTACGAATTGTGGATTTAGGTATGCACTGTGGATGCGATACTCCCTGGTATGGATTAACGTCCGCACTAGTGGGTACTACGACTATCCGCAGTAATATCCTAAAAATTAGACCAATTCGTATATACCAAGGCAAAAATGTGGTTCGGATTCCACTATAAATTGTAGGTCCCTTAGTTGCCATTAGCTGTATGGGCTATTAATTAACAGATGTGTCTAAGGAATAAGTCGGCCATAGTCACTAACAAGACTACAAGATCAGGCCACTCATCCTACACTCGTCTCCATTCATACTTGGCTTAAAATACTTACTTTGTTTGGTCGCCATTTCATTAAAAAGTATAAAAGTATAAAGTATAAGTATTTATTTTTTAAACTTATTTTACCAGCTCAAGCAATATGGATAGTTTTAACATCAAAACTGGCAGCTATAAATGTTATCAAAACTGAACATAAATAACAATTAATTTTCAAAGAATACTCTATAATTAATTACTAACCAACTCGAGAACTTACAGGTTTCAATGTTTTATAAAAATATGCATAATATGTCAGTGGTATATGGTCTTGTAAATAACTTATGTTTAGATAAGAGTGGAAGTCTTAAATAACTTTATCAGTTAGTTCTATACTGCAGCTAAAAAGTAGGTTTGGGGTCTAATATGTGAATTTTATTTAGGGTCATGTCATGCCCATTTTTTACTTTCTATAATTTTAGCTGTAAAGCTCTGAATTTGTCTCATGTTACAGAGTAAGAGTAAATACTTTGTACTGTATTCCAACTGTACCTGCCATAATCTTAATACCATTGTCAAATTTTAGTTCGTTTGGGTATCAAGTGACAATTTTGTTATCATTAAAAACTCAACATAAATAATCAACTTATTGGCTTGCATAAAAAATAGATAAAAAATACCCCGCTGCAGCAAATCTGCAGACTATGCAAATTTCCGTTTGCCTGATTTGATTAACAATTAATTCAATTCCATTTAAAAACATTAGGTTTAACAAGTGCTTAGGTCTGCTGCTACAGGGAGGCTAATAAAGTGTGTTTTTAGTAGAATATCAATAGCTTAGGACAAGATAAATAAATTTACCAAGTTTGATCAAAATTTATCCATAAACAAACAAACTAAAAGACTTATAATATTCTTCGTAAGAATAACATGGGAATTTAAAATTTAAAATTTTTTGAGTTTTCTCTGTAAACAATAAGGGTACAAAAAAACTTAAACATAATAAATTATTTGTTTTTTTAAGCTCTTCAAAATGATCTAGAGAGAAATTGGGGAGTTTTTTGTTTTGAGGGTTAAAAATGAGAAAACTCCCATACCCCATAAAAATCCCCCCTAAAACCACGTTCCCATGGTCCAATCATGCTGGTTTGCGAACTCATTTAAGTTTCTCCCGCCCTACACCATCAAGCTAAATTTCATCAAAATCGGACAAAAATTAATAAATCAAGTTATTGTGTTCACGGACATACATCTCTCTCTCTCTCTCTCTCTCTCTCTCTATACAGGGTGCGGCAAAAGTCAGCGTACCGAAAGTGCAGCTAAAGTACAGCTAGTATTAAACATAACTATAACAGTATTATTGTAAGTACCTGTTAGAGAAGCTGCTCAAAGTGACCACCTCCATTGTCTATACACATGTAGTACTTTTTCAACACTGAATTGCAAATTCTTTTACATAGTTGTGGTTGTGAATATAACATAAAAATGTTCTGTAATCAATTATTTTAAATATTCTAAACTTTGAGGTTTCTCCGAAAACATGTAAGGAGGTTGCGTTCCAGGAAACTGTTGTTCGTATGCTGCAAGAGCAAGAACATCCGGATGATTACGATCAAATTTACACCGATTTTTAAAAGAAATACTCGTTGGTCTATAGATAGTTTGTGATTCATAATAATAAACACTGATGTATAGAAGTTAATAGAACAATCACTACACTAACCAACTTCACTTCACGGTCACAGACGGAATATTGACAAAACAAAAAATCCTCGTTAAAGAATAAACTAAGGCAAAACAAAACATAACTTGACGTTAGATTAAATAAGGAGTGAAAGTAAGAGATAAAAATAGCGCGAGAGATAAACAATGACGCTTACTGGTCTGCAGCGGTACGCTGACTTTTGCCGCACCCGGCATATATATATATATTATATGGACCGTGAGAGATCTACCAACTGTCCTCCTTCAATCATCTTGTTGATATTATTACTAACATCTCTTATATGCTAATTGTCTTTAAGTTTACCAAACTGAGTGTTATTATATGACACTCTAAATGAAAAAAAAAACAAAAAACAAAACTGTTTGCTGAATGGTTGAATGATGGTAAATTTCCTGAAAATTGACAGATTTTAGTGATGTATTTGGATAACCTTTGTTGATGTCTAAATTGATAAAAATGCAAAGATGAATCATGCTATTTGAGATGATTCGTTGACTAACATATACTGCGACTCCTGTTTACCTCTTTATTGTTATCTCGCAAATAATGTCATGGCGACCAACTAACCCAAAAGACCCATGTTAAATTTCTAAAAGATTAAATTCACGTAGGGAAAAGCCCTATGGTCCGATTTGTACAATTTCAGATTTATACCTTCCCATGGTTGGACTGTGCTAAATTTTGTGCAGATCGCTTTAGCCGTTCAGGAGGAGTACAGTATTTGTAAAACAAAAGCAGGATTGTAGTATAAGTGCTTCGCTCCGCTCAATTACACACTAATACAGAGTCAAGCCTAATTATTAACTATAGGCTAATTTGTTGAATATAAAAATTAAAATTGACTATTTTACATGCTGCAAAATTACACCTGTATATGCTCATAGATACATGCCCAGAAAACAACTTTCTTACAAACAGCTGATAGTAACAGTTCACAGTTAGATTTAAACTTTACATACTCTTATTTGAAAATAACTTTGCACTTTTAAAGAGTGGTAGGGCAGAGCCCTGTAGTCTGATGTGTACTTTTCTGATTAATACTTTCCCATAGTTGGTCACTTTGACCATGCAAAAATCCGTGTGAATTGCTTCAGCCGTTCAGGAATAGTGTGCGGAAACTAATTTGAAGTGTGTAGTAAAAGAGCTTCCCTCGCTCCGATCAATAAATACCAAACATCTGGCTATGTGTAAGCACACACGTTTCTGCTCGTAAAACTTAATTCTTGAGATTTCAAACTACTTAAAAAAAGGTTTATGCCTTTGCAAAAACTTGCATTTACTAAGAGTGTTTTTATAACAAGTGCCTAGGACCCAATTCCAAACAATCATTTGTGATTGTTTTATTGTTGGAAAATTAGATTTATTTATTTTGTTAAGTTTTTATGGTAATTAACTTGTAATTGAAACTATCATCTTGTGAGTTTGTTAACTTATCCAAGCATCACACAGATTATCAGAAATATTGTGTGTTTATATCATTAGTTTTATTTTCATCAGTTCAAATTTACCCTTCAATCTTTAATATGTAAAACCAAACATACTTGAGCTACATAACCTGAATTTGCTTTTATTTTGATTTTTTAATGTTTTTTGTCTGTATTTTTATTTTCACCCATATTTTAGGAAACTTTTTTTTTTTTTGTCGGAATGAGATGTTTATGAATTGCATGAATTTTAAATGTGCCTTGTTGCTTAGCTAGCATAAAAACAAGTAATGATTGATAAACTATTATTTTAAGAGTAGTGTTGATTCGTTAATGTAGGCTATCTGTGTTGGTAATTTCCTTATTTTTTTTAACTAAGGTATACGTGTAGATTTTTCATCACCAAAGTCGAGCCAGTATTATTTTATTTATTATATTTAACTTTACTGTAACTTAAATTGTAGTATTTTAGTTAGGGTTATTGTTGTATCTTATTATACTTTAAAAATGATTATGTTGTTAAAACAAAAATGATTTATTTAGATGTTATTATTACTATTGTCACTATATTAGTTTTAATTTGTTCATTACATTTTTAAAGATATAGCAATAATAGTGATAAGTAAAAATCAAACTTTCCACCAGAGTTCAAGTTTTGTTATCTGAATCTACACAAACAAAACCTGTTCTATCTTATCATCATATAAAAATAAATTTGGCTTAAATAAAATGACAAGCATTCAAAACTGTGAATACAAGTTTGTAATCATTTCTTGTAACTATATACATTTTGTTGGAAGAAATTTAAAAAATAACAACAATGGTAGGTAACAAGTGTGATAATAGTTAGAGAACTTTGAATGAAATGTGATATTGTATCTAAAGTTTGTTGTTTCTGGGAATAAATTATTTCATTTTAATTATTTCATTTCTCGCTATACCCTTGATAACAGCAGTTTCTAAGCCAAAAACATCTGTTTACATTAAAACATGGTGTGATAGTTAACAGTCAGGGCCGCCGTGAGGACCAGGGATGCGGTTTCATGTGATGCACTATGGGTGATAATATAATCTTGCCCCTTTCCCCGGCCCTGTCCTTCTTAGGATATTTATTCCTTTGTTTCACCCACAAAAATCTTAAACCTCTTGCGCCCCCCAAATCTAGGTTTTACTAAATCAGCCCTGCATGGGGCGCCACAAGGGAGAGGGCACCGGTTAGAGCCAGTTCTAGGCTTAAGCAAAAATTGCAGCCGTACAGGGCCCCGCACCTAGGGGGGGGCCTGAGCACAGAAAACTTACTACTATAACCCAGAATGCCAACCACATGGTAAAAAGCATTAAGCGGTTTGAGAGAGCTTTGCCTGTCAATCCGTAGGCAGCGCCACCAGCGTTGCTATGCTATTGCATAGCTATTGCATGGCAACGCTGGTGGCGCTGCCTACGGATTGACAGGCAAAGCTCTCTCAAACCGCTTAATGCTTTTTACCATGCGGTTGGCATTCTGGGTTATAGTAGTACGTTTTCTGTGGCCTGAGCTTGAAAATTGGAAATTGTTAGTAAATTAACTATTAAAAAAAAGGGGAAAAAAGGGTTGTGAATAAATGTTTTAAGTGTGTTGGTACACCTGCGAGTTTACAGCTTTTGGTCTTCTTCACATTATCTGCTCTCTCTAGAAACATGGCTCTCCTTGAATGTAATTTATTGAAACAAACTAACTTTCTCACTGTCTATTTACAATCACATGGTTTATGATTAATTTAATCATGTGTACGATTGTTTTACCTTAAAACATGTTTCTGTAAACACTGTTAATAATAAAGTTTAACAACTATTAATCTATTACTAGTGCACCTGTTGCTCGAATTCGAGCAATTACAAAGTATAACAGGCGTTATTTCAAAACGAATACTGTAACAGTCATAATTTCCGGTGACTTAAAAGAGTCAACTCAAAGATAATGTAATCAATCACTCCACTCCAGTTATTGAAACTGAAAACGAACGCTCTTGTGTGTATCATGTGTTTACTATGAACAGCTGTAAATAATACAAATTATTCGTCTGTTAAGTAAACAAAATCTTTTCTTCATAAGAAATACATTAGGATATTGATGGCCTGTGGGGCAAAGCCCGAGGACTTTTATTACAGGAATTGGTGAAAGGTGGCGTCTACACAAAAAATACTTAATTTTGACACATCGTTTGTAACAATCCGTCCAGGGCCGAACTTACCTAAGTTAACTTACCCCCTGGCCCTTGCGGGGCCCCCTTGCACAGTAGTTTTTATTAACTTCGAAAATTAATCAGACACTTACTGAATGTCCTTCTTTTTCAATAGCTTTATTGTCGTTATCCTATATTTAAGGTTATTTTTAGGTGAATTTTAATGTACTAGGAACAAAATTCTTGACTCTAAGGGACTTTTCCTCAGGATTGCACTGGGCTCCGCGCTAAGGCCTGGTTTACACGAGTATAGCTGCTAGGCTGTGATGGACCAGTTTCAGTTTCAATGAAGCCGTTCACACGACGATTGAGTTAAAGGGGGCCCTTTCGCTTGGGGCAAAAAATACAATAAATAATATAAAAACTCTTGTCCTAACGTAGAACGTAACTTGTACAATGTACAATTGTGTTAATTGTGTAGGGTTAAGTACAGATTCAATGGGGTTTTAATACTTTTGAAAAAGTAAAACATTGCTCGGTTAATGTTTTATTAAATGTCATTCTTTTACCTCTAAGTATATACCAAGGGAAACGGACTTTCGGCCTGCGCTGCCCCTGACTCGGCCTGGGCTGCCCCTATTGTGTGTTGTGGAGGGTAAGTTTCTAGGGACCAGGTATCTGATCTCAGCTTGCACTTTACCCATTAATTCCCAGGAATCTCCCAGAAGTGGGGTAGTAGTCAGGGTCGTTGACACAGGAAGCATGGGCCAAACCTCATAAGAAATGCATTACTAATGTACTAGAATACTACTGTAATCTTGGCATTACAGATTCAGGACGTGATGGTGTCTACGGGTGGTGAATATCCACCCCAAATAAACCTCGTTTTGTTTCAAATTTTAAAATACAAAAATATGCAAATGTCTA